TTTATTTATTTGACAGAGAGACAGCAAGAGAGGGAATACAAGCAGGGGAACTTGGGGAGGAAGAAGCAGGCCTCCTGGGGAGCAAAGAGCCCAATGCAGGGCTCGATCCCAGGACCCTGAGATCATGACCTGAGCCAAAGGCAGAGGCTTAACCACTGAGCCACCCAGGCGCCCTGGACATTTGGGTTGTTAACAGTCTTCGACTATTACAAATAAAATTGCTATGAGCCTTTGTATGGACATATACTTTCATTTCTTTTAGGTAAATATATGGCTGCAGAATGGTTGGGATAATATAATACATGTTTAATTTTTCTTTTTTTTAAGATTGTATTTATTTATTTGTCAGAGAGAGAGAGAGAGCGAGCACAGGCAGAGTGGCAGGCAGAGGCAGAGGGAGAAGCAGGCTCCCCGCCAAGCAAGGAGCCCGATCTTGGACTTGATCGTAGGACGCTGGGATCATGACCTGAGCTGAAGGCAGCTGCTTAACCGACTGAGCCACCCAGGCATCCCTACATGTTTAACTTCTTAAGAAACCGTGAAACTGTTTTCTAAAATGGCTATACCGTTCTACTTTTCCACAAGCAATATGAGAGTTCTAGTAACTCCACATCCTCATCAACACTTGTTACTGTGTTCTTAATTTTAGCCATCTTAACTGTGTACGCAATAATACCTCATTGTGGTTTTGATTTACATTTCCTTGATGACTGGTGATGGGCTGAGCATCTTTTCATGTATGGATTTACCTTCCATAAGTCTTCTTGGTGAATTGTCTGTTCAAATCTTTTCTCTCCCACCTTTCCAGAAATTGAATTTTGTTTTCTAATTAATGGGTTTTTAGAGTTCCTTACATATTCCACAAATCCTTTATCAGATCTATGATTTGCAAATATTTTCTTTTGACCTATGGCTTGCCCTTTTTATTATTTTAATGGTGTCATTTGAAGAGCAGAAGTTTTTATTTTAATAAAGTCCAATTTGTCAAATTGGGGGGAGGGTGTTATAGTTAAGAGATCTTTGCCTAACCCAAGGTCATAAATATTTTCTCCTAGAAATTGCATAGTTTTAGGCCTTAAATTAGGTCTATGATCTATTTTTTAGTTAATTTTTGTATTTGGTATGAGATGTGGTTTGAATTTTTTTTTTTTTTTTTGCACATGGATATCCACTTGTTTTAGCACCATTTGAGAAAAATGACTATCCTTTCTCCATGGAGTTGGCTTTTCATCTTCATCTTTGTCAAATCTCAGTTGTCCTTGTATATATGACTCCTTATTCTATTCGCATGATCTGTTTGTCTATCTTTGTGCCCATACCACATTATCTAGACTGGATTTTAAGTTTCTCCATGATGGGAACCATGTTTTGCGTATCTTCTTGTCCAACCAACCTTACCAATTGGCTACTTTGAGTATAGTAATCAATATAATTATTGTATTGAAAAAACAGAAACCTTGCAACAACCACTTAACAAGCAAATGTGGAGTTGAAATCACAATTTAAAGAGTATCTAATGTTTTGAAATATTTCTGTGTTTGCTTTGACTCCCTATACATTAAACATTTTTCAAAACTAATTTTAAATGTGTGTGTGTATGTGTGTGTGTGTGTGTGTGTATAATCACACACATAAATATATGTTTTCTTTTTAAAATTAAAGCCACGGGGGTCCCTGGCTGGCTCAGTCAAAGCAGCATATGTCTCTTGATCTGGGAGTTATGAGTTTGAGCCCCACGTTGGGTATAAAAATTACTAAAAAAAAAAACTTAAAAAAAAAATTAAAGCCAAAATCCCTTTGGTGATTCCCCCAAATCTTTCACCCATGCATTCTTTGTTTGCTGTGCACCCTTCTGGACCCCTTTCTAATGTACTTTTACAAGTATTTATATTTTCTACTGGTTTGAGATAGTTATTCCTGATGTCACTTTAACCTTTTTCTCATAATTTCCAGCAGTGTATCCCTTTGGATTACATTCTGAGAGGATTTGATGTTCGGGTTCACTATTGCCTTCTTTATCTGTCTTTATTCTGTTTTTAAATCCATGTATCTAACCCACACACACACACAATTATATTTTTATTTCTAAGATCTCTAAGGCCATTTTTTCATGGTTGCTCTTATTCTGAAACTGTCTGTTCTTGTTTTATGGTTATCACATTTTCTCTGAATATTTTATGTTATTTTATTTTATTTTAAAGATTTTATTTATTTGTTTGATAGAGCAAAACAGTGAGAGAGGGAACACAAGCAGAGGGAGTGGGAGAGGGAGAAGCAGGCTCCTTGCAGAGCGGGGAGCCTGATGCGGGGATGCAATCCCAGGACCCTGGGATTGTGACCTGAGCCAAAGGCAGATGCTTAATGACTGAGCCACCCAAGTGCCCCCCTGTGAATATTTTAATTATACTTAACTTGAAAATTTACTCTGACTCCTTATGAACTCTGCTTCTTCAGATATATGTTTGGGTACATGGATATTAGACTTTTGAGGAAGTGTCTGGAGGGAAGATAGTACTGCTTCCCCCTGTTGAACTCCACGAACTGTAGGGAGAGTTAGGAAGGGCAGCACACTTGGAGCATTGTTGTGTGGGTGCCCCCTGTTCCTGCTGGGCATTCTGAGCCCCTGGAGCACTGCCTTCCCCCTCATACCCAAACTCCTCTAGTCACTGCTCTTACCTGAAATATGTACTGGGTGGGTGGGTGGCAGTGGTGCACAGAGTTTATCTGTTGGCTTTTCTCATTATGATTCTCCGAGTAACAGCCCTGTTTGTTGTCTTCATGTCCCTCCCTGTTTGGGCTTCTACCAGTTCTACCTTCTGTAGCAGAACCCTACCATTCCTAGTCACGGGCTGCAGGTTCCCTCTTTAATCTGACCTTTGTGTCTCTTAGGGTTTTCTCTGTGATCTGGCAACTTTGAGAGGTGGTGGTGGTTGTTTTGTTTTAAGCTCAGATATTCATGTTTATTTGTTCGTCTATTTATTTACAGTTTATACCTTTTCTGTTAACTTTTAGGGATTCGCTATGGGAGGGAAGGTTGTGACATGTTACCAGTCTGAAAATTATAAAACTGGAAGCCCTGTTTTCTTTTTTAATTTATGTTCTGCTTTTGCTAAGATTGACTTGTAATGACAGTGCTGTGAGTGAGTAGCATATAATGACTGATGAAGAAGAAGCTGCTGGTGACTTGTTTGGGTGCGTTTTTTCTAAAGAAGCATTATTGCTTCTATAGTATATCATCAGCAGATTGTTGAACTGGGTTAAGTTGAACTGGAAAAGAGTGTGTGGGTAGGGCGGGAGTAAAATGTTGCTTATAGTAGAATAGCAACAGTGCACATCTGAACCTGCTTACTTTTTTTTTTTTTAATTTTATTTATGTATTTATTTGACAGGGATCACAAGTAGGCAGAGAGGCAGGCAGAGAGCGAGGAGGAAGCAGGCTCCCTACTGAGCAGAGAGCCCGATGGAGGGCTCGATCCCAGGACCCTGGGATCATGACCTGAGCTGAAGGTAGAGGCTTTAACCCACTGAGCCACCCAGGCGCCTCGAACCTGCTTACTTTTTCTTTATTCAGTTATTGTTTTACCTGAAATTTGTGTGTTTACCAAAACCTACTGTAATTTTCAAACATCAAAATATTATATATAGGAATGAAATTCACTAAGATATCATCAGGTATTAATATGTGTTTAAGACAGTTGTAGAGACTTGGAAAAATTTATTAGTTGCAATAAGGGAAAAAAGAATTACTTTCCAGGGGCGCCTGGGTGGCTCAGTGGGTTGGGCCGCTGCCTTCGGCTCAGGTCATGATCTCAGGGTCCTGGGATCGAGCCCCGCATCGGGCTCTCTGCTCAGCAAGGAGCCTGCTTCCTCCTTTCTCTCTGCCTGCCTCTCTGCCTGCTTGTGATCTCTGTCTGTCAAATAAATAAATAAAATCTTTAAAAAAAAAAAAAAAGAATTACTTTCCAGTCACAATTGAATTAGATTGGAACCAGGGCCTGAGAAGAATGTAAGAGGGTTTGTCAGAAGGAAACTAAAAAGAAATTCATGTGCATTGGATGTGTATTTTCATTTCTTTGAATATATTCCCAGCAGTGGAATTGCTGGGCCGTATGGTGACTCAGTGTTTAACCTTCTGAGAAACTGCCACACTGTTGAAAGCACATCATTTTATGTTCTCACCAGTAGTGGATACAGGTTCTAATTACTCCATAGCCTCACCAACACTTGTTATTGTTTGTCTTTTTTATTATAACCATCCCAGTGTGTGTGAAGTGGCATCCTGTTGTGGTTTTTGACTAGTATTTTTTGGATGGCTAATAATGCAGAGCATTGTTTCATGTGCTTATTGGCCATTTTTGTATCTTTGGAGAAATGTCTCTTTAGATCTTTTGCCCGTTTTTTTTGTTGTTGTTGTTGTTAGGTTGTTTTTATTATTGAATTGTAAGAGTTCTTTATATATTCTGGATATTAGTCCCTTTCCATATATGTGATTTGCATAAGTTTTCTCCCATTCTGTGGCTTGTCATCACTTTCTTTATAATGTCCTTTGAAGCACCAATGTTTTAAATTTTGATGAAGTCCAAAATTGTTCGTTTGAGGCATAACTCAAATGAAGAAGCATCTCTTTAGGGTATAGAGAATCTGATGATCGAGACAAAGAAGACATTGCTTTGGAATGCTAAGACTGGATTTCTTCCTCTCACACTCTGCTCTAGGAAAGCTCTACTTGTCACACGCCAGATGTGCTTCTTGTGATACGGAGTTGGACAGGTTTTTCTGCCCTCTGGAATGGTGTGACAGGTAGCGAGACAGCATTTTTCAGTGTTCTGCACTTCCCAAAAGGCCCCTGAGTGAGTGGCGTGAGGTCGTCAGCAGTCTCTGTATCTGGAAGAGTGGCAGTGCCTGTGAATCATAAATCACATCTGAGGTGGAAGTGAAACTCCTCTGATTAACCACTGTGAAAGCAACTCACCCTCATTCTCGTTTTGTGGTTTCTCTAGTTCTGGACTTCAGCGATCCCTTCAGCACTGAGGTGAAGCCCAGAATCCTGCTCATGGGCCTGAGGAGAAGTGGCAAGTCATCTATTCAGAAAGTTGTTTTTCACAAAATGTCTCCCAACGAAACGCTGTTCTTGGAGAGCACAAACAAGATCTGCCGGGAAGACGTTTCCAATAGCTCCTTTGTTAATTTTCAGATTTGGGACTTCCCAGGACAGATTGACTTTTTTGACCCTACCTTTGACTATGAGATGATCTTCCGGGGAACAGGAGCGCTGATATTTGTCATCGACTCCCAGGTAAAGTTCAGTCTCGGGGTACATGGGACGGCAGGCCCCCCCCCCCCCCCCCCCCCCCCCCCCGCCCCGACACAGTCCCTCCCATGTTCATACCAGTTCCTTTGTAATGTTTTTTGTTTGTTTGTTTGTTTTCAAGAATCAGGAATAGTCCTTTATACCCAACAAGGTCTCTCAGTGGGGGCTCTCAGGGTTGCAAAGGGGAAAAGTCTCCCTCTGTGGAACCCTAATCAGTGAGCAGTGAGCACTGTCAGGGCATTGTGTATGTCTCAGCAAATCACAGAAACCTTAGAGATGGAAGGGGCCGCCATACAGGCCAAGGACAGCAACTACATGTCCCCTGCCTGCCCCCCTACTCTGGACAGACATCTGTAAAACAGCACAGGTTTTCTGCAACAAAAATATGCATATAAATCTGCATTTTAAAATGGTTACTCTTTCCTAGGAAGATAAAGTTCTAACTGTGAAGGTTTTCTTTTGAATTAAATTATTGTAATTATTAATAGTACACGATTGACAGCATAACTGTTATGTGTTTTAGAGGTAACTATTAAAAATAAAAAGTAAAAATTTGATTGTAAGTATACGTCTTAAGACAATGGATGTTTTCCCACTTAATTCACCTATGCATGCTTGAATAAGACAGAATTTGGCATAAGTTCTATTTTTGATTGTGTCAGTGTGAGCGCTGAGAAACCTTGTTCGCATAAATAAGTAGATGGATATGGGGTGAGTTTTGTTATAGCATTCGCTCAATTATTTAAACGTTTTCCAAGTTACATCCTGTAAATTGCCCAGTTTTCTATCACCAAGGCTTGTTTTTAGTAGTTTATCAGTAGACATCCTGATTGGGCTTTCCTTTAACTTTGCTGAAAGCAAAGACGTGGGGACCCCCTGACTGGTGAAGGGCCTTTGTACCCAGAAATCAGTTATTCAATTTATTAGGATACCGACTAGTCTTGTGAATTGTCTCTTTGGTCCTCTGGGCCTTTCACCTGTGAAGTGGGAGCCAGCAGTTGAAGGGGAGGAGTGGGGACGGAAGCAGCAGACTACAGGTGCATCTCAGGAACGCCCGTCTTAGGAAAGAGTACAGGGAACAGAACTGGGACAGTGACACTCTTCAAACTCTCTGTGTCCAGGCCCTCTTAGAAAGTGTCCTGGAAGCACAGCTGAGCCCGAAGGCTCTCCCAAGGGCTCTCTTTTACAGCTGTGGGGGATAAATGGCAGTGAGTCCTTCCAGGAATGCACTAAGCAGCTCTAAGTTCAGGACATGCTGTTTTCCTGAAACTGGGCCTGCAGTCAGACAGATGGGCGGAGCACACCTGCCTCTTCCAGGAGTGCCGATGGAGTTAAGGAGGCAGGGATACGTAAGCTGTTAGTAATAATGGTTCTGAGCCCGTACTTGGAAACCCCTTCTCTGAGAAGACTGCTCCTGCCTGAGCTCATCTTAAACTCATTCGGGGAACCAGGTGCCTGTTTAATACAGTAATGAAGCCTTTTCGTTCCAAGTGATTGCACTGCATAAATACTTCCAGTGTTGCTGTGGGAGTGTGGCCGTCCGGAGGAGGGGCTCGCTCTTTCTTTCCAGGTGGTGGTGTGCAGGGAAGGGACTTATTCCAGCACCGGATCTGTGAACAGCAGTGCCTCCCCTCCCCTGGGCCCATCTGGAAAAGCACGCTTGTAGACAGACACCTGCATCAGGTCCAGGTCCTGCCGCCAGTCTCTGCTTTCCTGGCTGTCCCGCTTGTACTGACCTGTTTTCTGGCCCATCTGTGGCCTTGGCAGCAGGCCCTGTCTTCCTGCCTAGGTCTGCCAGCACAGAGATGAGGGAGCTCGGGCGGACAGGAGGAGCCGAGCAGCTGGGTGCGGGCTGGGGCAGGGGAGGGAGGGTGGGGTGGCTGGCGAGCCCTTGGCAACGTCCCACTCACCTGTCTCTTCTAAGCTCCAGTGTTTTCCCTAAGTCACCGGGCTGCTGCTTCTGTAGTTGTTGAACGAGGTAGCAGCACCAGTAGCCTGACCCTCCGGTAAGGAGGTTGCAGTCAGATGACTCATCTTCCAAGACAGTGGCTTGATAAGTACTCACTTCAGTACCGTGTTGTGCTTCTATAGCAATTGGCATTTCTAGAATTCAAATGTCTAACGCAACTCTATCCTAGGTGTTTGTACTGTGGCTATACGGTGGCTAAAAAAGCTTTGCTTGCTTATTTTTAAGTTGCCACTGTAATTTGGTTTTAATTTTACCTGAACATGAAAAGCGGCCCTTCAGTTTGAGCTGGTAAATGTGTGTTTTCTTTTATTTTGTTTCTTGTGTTTGTTTTTTTATCTCCTAGCTTAAGGTCAGAGAAAGACGAACGTTTGAGAAATTTGTCTTTTTAAGTCCCACTTTTAAAAAGGGTGGAGAAACATTGTTGAGAGCTATCATTTACTGAAAAGGAGGAATAATGAAATAAGCTATTTCAGAGTCTGTGTGATACATACTTTGGCTTTGGAAGCAGACTGTAAAAAACATGTTTTCAGGGATTTTTATATGATGTAATTACAAGCACTGAAAAGAAACGTAAACTTTAGGCAGTCTTGGCAGGCACTCGAACGTCATTGCCTTTATTTCTAAACAAGGCTCTGTTGGTCTGACGCCTCATATTTTTATTTTTTCCTTGTGAATTCCTCACAAGCACAGGATTGTCAGATAAATACATCACCAAGGAGAAAATGTGTCCTCACAGAATGTTGTAAAATGAAGGAGCATGAAAGCATCCAGAGTGATTTCCTGTGAGCTACCCCCAGGCAGAGCCTACAACATGTCCCACACCCCCCAGGGCCACCCTTGGCCCCCTGAAGCCATGTCACATGGGCCTTGGGATCCACAGTGGAGGGTCGGCTTCCTCTACATTGGTGATTGTGACCTGCCTGTAATTCCTAGATCTAATTTTGGAATAGGAATGAAGGTGGTATGTTTCTCCTGTATTTTTATTTGTTGTAGAAGATAGTAACAAACACAGTGAGAAAAATCAGCCACGCCCCCTCTGTTCTAATGAAGCAAGTATTTTCTTCTTTCAGATGTTATTTTTAGTCCTGGTAGGTATGTGCCACTTCATCACTTGGTTGGTAGTCAGATAATTTTATACGCCTGGCAGGGAAGTTACAGTAATAGCTTCTAATCTTTTGAGATGGTGATACTCTCTTGACATTGGCTAGTTTTGCTCATAGACGTGTCCCCTTAACTCCCCTCTTCAGTTAAAGACATCAGCAAGGGGCGTCTGGGTGGCTCAGTGGGTTAAAGCCTCTGCCTTCGGCTCAGGTCATGATCCCAAGGTCCTGGGATAGAGTCCCGCATCGGGCTCTCTGCTCAGCAGGGAGCCTGCTTCCCCCTCTCTCTGCCTGCCTCTCTGCCTACCTGTGATCTGTCTGTCAAATAAATAAAATAAAAAATCTTAAAAAAAAAGACATAATAACAATTATATACGATAAAATGCATTTATTTTGAATGTACAGTTTAGTGAGTTTGACAAATGCATATAACTCGTAACCACTTCACAGTTAAGATGTAGAATATTTCTGCCACCCGAAAAGCTTTCTTTGTTGTCCTTTCTTAGATGGCCTCCCCCTGAATTTCAAGACATTGTAAATGAATTCTGTATGTTGTTTAGGGATACATATGTATGTAGTACTGGAGAAGGAGATGATTGAGAATAAACACTAAACTCAGGATAGTGGATACCTCTGGAGGGTTGGGGGTAGAGTGATGGGGTGGGCTGGGAGAATGGGGAGAGACACTCAGGGATTCAGTGTCTACTGTTTTTTCTTTGTTTTTTTTTTTTAAAGTTTATGTATTTAATTAATCTCTACGCCCAATGTGGTGCTTAAACTTAAGACCTCGAAATCAAGAGTCACATGCGCAGGGAGCCTGGCTGGCTCACTTGATAGAGCATGCAACTCTTGATCTCACTGTTGTGAGTTTGAGCCCCACGCTGGGTGCACAGATTACTTAAAAAAAAAAAAAAAAAAAAAAAAAGGACTTGCGAGGTCCTCCAACTGAGACAGCCATCCCTACTGTTTGATTTCTTAAACAGGAAGATGCAAAAGCAGATGTTCATCATATTATTATAAAAGTGTCATTTGTAAGGAGGAGCGAAAAATAGTATTGCATTATTTGGGTCAGTTACTCATGATCAGAGGTCAGCAAACTGTTTCTGTAGAGGGCTAGATGGTAAGTGTTTTAGGCTTTGCAGGCTGTCTGTACTATCTCCAAGGGGTCTCCTCAGAGGAACACCCCTCAACTCTGCCACTGTACCACAGAAGCAGCCATAGACGGTATGTAAATAGATGCGCGTTCCAATAAAACTTTACTTATAAACAACACACAGTGGGTCCATTTTGGCCCTTGGGCCAGGTTTGCTGACCTCTGCTCTAGACCGTGCTCTTATCTTTCCTTCTGGCTCCTTCCCCATCCTCCCAGTGACCCATATCACGTTTCCATCTCTAACTGTTCATCACAGTTCACCCAGGGACTCAAAAATCTGGGAAGAATAGTATCCCAGGGAAGGTTCTAGGTGGTAGGGGGCCATTTTGAATTCAGAAAACTGTAACGCTGGTCTTAATGACTGTCATCAGGCTACTACGTAACTGCCTACAGCTGTGTTTTTCCAGCCCTTTTCATCTCTTTGTTCATGAAACTTCAGTTTCCAAACTTGAATTCCATGAAACCAGCTCTTATTTGGGCTTTTGCAAACTATTTTGGAGGATTGTACCCACATGGTTTCCAGATTAGGAGTGAGTATGAAAGGGAAAAAAAGGTAACTGTGAAGTAAAGTGATGGATAGATTAATTAACTTGGTTGGGGGGATCATTTCGTGATGTATATGTATATCAAAACATCATATTGTACACCTCAAATATACACAGTGCTTGTCAATCATACCTCAGTAAAACAGGAAAAACGAGTGTCTGCGGACGGTAGCGTAGAAGGCTTTGGCCTCCCCTGACAGGAGTGTGCCTTTGTTCCCAGGACGATTACATGGAGGCTTTGGCCAGGCTCCACCTCACCGTGACCAGGGCCTACAAAGTGAACACTGACATCAACTTCGAGGTGTTTATTCATAAAGTCGATGGTCTGTCAGATGACCACAAGATTGAGACCCAAAGAGATATTCATCAGAGGGCAAACGATGACCTTGCCGATGCTGGATTAGAAAAAATTCACCTCAGGTGAGAACAGAAACCCTTCTGGGATCACAGTTCATCAACGGAAAGAAGCAGGTGTGGAGTCCAAAGTCAGCACAAGCGGTGTGGTATTCACCTGTTTACCCTATTTGTGCTGTACACATTGGGACAGTATTTGGGAAAAGCAAGCTTTGCATGTACTAATTCTAATTTTCATTTTTGTTTTTTAAAAAAAATGGCTAAAGCTAATTTTTCCCACCTATGAAAACCGTAAAACTCAAGAACATAATCCAGGAAGTTAATCAAGGCTGAAGTTTACAATTCTTAATAAATATGATAGTATTTATAGCCACAAGTAAAAGATAACTCTGAAGATAATTCAAATAGAAATACAGAGGAAAACCACTTGTCTATTAAGGTTTTTTTTGAGATTTTATTTTTTAGTAACCTCTACACCCAACGTGAGGCTCGAACTTAACCCCAAGATCAAGTCGCATGGTCTACCGACTAAGCCAGCCAGGCACCCACCCCTCTGTCAGTTTTTTATGGGGAAGTGTATGCATCATTCAGTTTGCAAATTGGAAAGTGAAAATATTAGATGCCTCAATACCAGTAACATAGGCATTACTAACCTAACAGGAATGTGTAGAGATGACCTGGTGTGGATTCGTTTGCAGAATGTAAGAAAGCTTGTATGGGCACATACCATTGCATTTTTAGGCTTTCCAGTCCAGCCAGTCGGCATATGAGAATGGGCACAATTCTTGCTTTTTGGGAGCTGGGGAGGAATGGCTTGTTTTTCGCCAGGGTCATTTTGAATTCTGAAGGGGGCTAGAATGCGTGTGTAGGGACAGTAGGTATAGACCTCTGGCACTGGTGTTGTGACAGCCTAGGCAGTCTGTCCCCCAGTCAGAAGGAAAGTGTGATGAGATACTGTTCTCTCTTTCAGCTTCTATTTGACGAGCATATATGATCATTCAATATTTGAAGCTTTTAGCAAAGTGGTTCAGAAACTGATTCCACAACTCCCCACCCTGGAGAATTTGCTAAACATCTTTATCTCGGTAAGTAAATAACATCCTCCTGGTAGAATCATTTGCAGAATTTTAGAATAACATTGAGAGCGTGAAAAGAGTCTTATTTCTACTTGCTCTTACGGCATTGCAGGGTCACTGAAGGATTACTCTGGAAGATTGCTCCAACACAAAACATGCTGTTTTATGTTCTTTAAACTTTCACTCCCCGAACCATTTCTGTTCTATAAATAGAGTGTTTGTTAAAGTCATAGGCAGTCTTCAATGTGGATAGAGCCCTGTGAGATCTAGGAAGCTTTGAGAGTGGTTGTGGCGATGAGTTAGAGCCTGTTGAATATTTTTTATATGTTAAACCCTGTGGTTGATGCGCTGGCTGAATGAGTCCTATAGACCATCAGCTCTGGGCCAGCTCTGCTGTTGACTTGAGTCAGACTTGTTGGTTGCACTCATATTTACTCTGTCACTCCACGGTTTGGGGTTTATTTAGATTTTTAAAATATATTTCATTTTAAAATTTATAGTCAGTAAAATTAGTGTTTTTCCTTGCTTTTTCCTAACTGCAGGCACATCTCTAAGAGCCAGGAAACACAGCCCAATTTGTTTACCTACAATAATTTATAAAATTTATGAAAAATAAGAATTTTCCATTTCTTATGCATATCCATTATAAAAATTTACATGAGATTGAAATTGTCATAGAATAGAACAAAATCTTTAGTAAATTAATTTTTGCTCCTTCATATTTTACACTGAAGATGGCATGTAATTTTTTTTAATCTTTTTTTTTTAATTAATTAATTTATTTATTTGACAGATAGAGATCACAAGTAGGCAGAGAGGCAGGCAGAGAGAGAGAGGAGGAGGCAGGTTCCCCGCTGAGCAGAGAGCCCGATGTGGGGCTCGATCCCAGGACACTGGGACCATGACCTCAGCTGAAGACAGAGGCTTTAACCCACTGAGCCACCCAGGCGCCCCAGCATGTAATTTCTTTATATAGTGATGACATGTTCTAAAATCATCTGTCCCTTTAAGATAGCATCATCTTTTTGTTTCAGAATTCTGGAATTGAAAAGGCATTTCTCTTTGACGTGGTCAGTAAAATTTACATTGCAACTGATAGTACCCCAGTGGATATGCAAACCTATGAGCTCTGCTGTGATATGATCGATGTTGTTATCGACATCTCTTGTATTTATGGGTAAGTAAAATACTCCTACAGGGTACAAACAGCCATACTTCCGATTAGGAAATGAAACTGTGCATAATCTTTGTAACATTTGCATTTACTTACTTGATTTTAATACTTTTGGTTTTTTTAAAGTATATTGAAGATAAGAAATGCTACTTTTTTAAAAAGATTTTATTTATTTGATAGAGTGAGAACACAAGGAGGGGGAGCGGGAGAGGGAGAAGCAGACTCCCCGCTGAGCACAGAGCCCTCAGTGGGACTCAATCCCAGGACCCTGGGATCATGACCTGAGCTGAAAGCAGATGCTTAACCATCTGAGCCACCCAGATATCCCAATATTTTTGTTTTAAATGACTGAGATCTGTAAATAAACAGCATGCCATAACAACAAAAATTATTGAGTAAATGCCTGACATTCTGCTAATAAGCATATTGCATACATTATATCATTTAATTCCTCAATATTCCATGAGATGGGAATTACTATCCCCATGTCACAGATGGGGAAACTGAGGTTCAGAGTGGTTGTTTCTAATCCCTGCTCACACTGTCAATAAAGGACAGAACTGGAACTTGAACCAAAAGTCTGACTGTTTCTGCATTCTTCTGAAAAATCTGTCATCATATCATAATGTCATACACACTTGGGAAAGACTAATAGGATCCTCAGACTTTAAATACATATCTCATATTAACAACAGTTGTTACGTTCTTCACTGTAAGAAATAACAGCTGGATTTTCTTTAACATACTTTGTCTTCCTTTATGAGCGACAGAGAATTACAAAACCAAGCAAACAACATTACCTGCTTATTATCATGGTCTTAGAGTCTTAGAAAACAGAACTTCCTGTACAGTTACAATATTATAAACAAGGAGTGGAGAAAATTGGTTCTGGTACCAGACATAGAAACATTTCCACATAATTTTTAATTTCCTGAATGGGATTGTATAGAGTGAACTAGTTTGAAGTTTGAACTCGTTTGTCGTATTAAGATCACGCTGTTGCTGTTGATTTATATGGGCTCTTACACGCTTATCTAGTCATTGATGGGTAAGGCTCTTGTTCATCTTCCTCTCTACGCACCAGCTGTGACGTGCCTCACACAGCCTCCTCTGTCAGCTTCGGGAAGGGTCCCGGTCTCCCCATTTCTCTCTCCTTCTGTCTGAAGAGCCTTTGACCCCTCAGCTCAGATTCTTCTGCTGTACACACGTGCACGCCGGGTCCTTTCTATTATGAGACAGGGAGAGTGGTACTGTGAGCCTGTAGTGAGGGTGACATGTCATTGGGCTTCACCTGGCCGGCCCTGGATAAATGTAGATGCCACTATTATTATTTTGTTGTCATTATTAAACATTACCATCTGACTTTAGGAGCAGACCTCATTCCCAAGATTACTGCCTTCTTAGTATTATTATTAAACACTGCCATCTGGCTTCCGAAATAGACCTTATTTTCTAAGACGACGGCTCTATAGCATTCTGTTGTTTTAAAACTCAAGTGGATTGACCTTGAAATAGTCAGGGAAACTGAACGTATCCTGATTACAGTGTAGATTGCTGTGGTAATCAAATACAATAAACACAATTAATCTGGCACCTCTTTAATGATATGCGTAATCCTTATTGTGCCATATGGTAATTAGATGTAAGTGGTAAGCTGTTCATGTAATGATGCTAATCAGAGTTCCTCTAACCCAGCTAAAACAAACAGGAGGAGGGCGGCAGGCAGTGGGAGGAGTCAGATTGTTTTTCCTGAGAACCCATCAGGTGCCATAAGAACCAGTCTGGGTCACCAACTGGGCGTGGGCCCTGGAGTTTCCCCACCCTTCTTGGGAGCCACGAGGAGCCAGCCCGGCTAACTGGCAGCCACTGAGGAAACAGGCTCGCTGCCAGTTCCCAGCTGCTCCGTGGAGACCAGCAGGGCCCGAGGCAGGTGTGCCTTGGTCAGTCTGCTCAGTAATCTGGGGAGTTTCTGGCTCTCCAGGCGCGCACACATAGGCTTTAAAATACATTGCGGCTGCCTGGGTTTTCACGGCTTTGTGAACACAGACCTGAGTAGTAGTAGCACAGAGTAGCAGCTGTAATCCATCACCGGTGTTTACTTGTAGTTTTTGGGTCTTTCTGGTTTCTCCAATTTGTTTAATGTTTCATTTTTTCTGAGTATGAATGCAGTCCGTGCTCATTGCAGAAAATATGTAAAAGCATAAAGAATAAAATTAAGGTAACCCGTAATCTCATCACCTAGAGACAGTCAGTAAATATATTTTATTGTGTTTTGTACTTTTTTTTTTTTTTTTGGAGATTTCATGTATTTATTTGAGGGAGAGTGTGAGTGGAGGAGAGGTGCGGAGGGAGAAGCAGGAAGCCTGACCTGGGGCTCGATCCCAGGACCGTGCAATCATGACCTGAGCTGAAGGCAGATGCTTCACTCATTGAGCCACCCGGGTGCCCCTAATGTGTTTTATTCTTAATTTCTCTGTGTAATTTTTTTTTTAAGATTTTATTTATTTATTTGACAAACAGAGATTACAAGTAGGCAGAGAGGCAGTCAGAGGAGGAAGCAGGCTCCCTGCTGAGCAGAGAGCCCAATGTGGGGCTCGATCCCAGGACCCCGGGATCATGACCTGAGCCGAAGGCAGAGGCTTTAACCCACTGAGCCACCCAGGCGCCCCTCTGTGTAAGTTTTAGGATAATGTGATCTTTGTATATATAAATTTTATATGTATCCTGCTTTATGCATTTAACATTATCACCTAAGACTTTTCTTGTTATTAAGTGCCATTAGTAGATTTTCTTCATAGGTAAAAAAATTCAAAAGTTTCAGTTTATTGTTCTCACAGCATCACTTATTAGCAAGAGAAATTCAGCCTAGAAAAACAGCAGCTAAAAATAGTACAAAGGACATTAAGAATTCTGATAAAGCGTCTTTAACATCTGAGATCCAATCTCTTACAGGTTTTTCTTGAACGTTTTGGTAGGTCACAGTGAGTTGAATCCTTTTTCAAAAAACCTTCTTCCCCAGTTTACTTGTAAGTAGCCATGTATGTGCTGGTTTAAAATATTCTCAAAACGAATAACTTATATTTCCTTTGAAATACTCTACAATTCAGGCTTTTCATTTAATCTGGTTTGTCACGTTACCTCTTTACGATATTTATGAGACTAAAAGCATTAACTCGGAATTAGATTAGTTTGAGATCCCTGCTCTCCCCCCATTATCAATTTTGACCAAAGTAGTTCCCCTAGCCTCGGTTCCTCGATACCCAGCTTAGAGGATTCTATGGCCCGACGATAGAGAAGTCATGATAAAAGCTAAGAATGGTGCCTTTCCCATTGTAAATGTTGGCTCTTATTCTGCAAATGGATCAGGTTTAGCACCAGCCGTGTTACCATGTTGTATTAGTTCCAATTAAGTCAAATTTCTGGTCAATTATTCATTAATTTGGGAAGTAAAAATAAATACACACACACACACACACACACACACAGTTTCAGATAAGGGGAACAGGTGCAGGGAAGTGCTCCTTTGCCTACAAGAAGAGGACTCATACGTCTGATTACATCAATGTCTTCGGAGGGTCCAGTTTTGATCATTAAAAGGCATCATCATCGTCATCGTCGTCTTCATCGTGGTTAACATTCATTGTGCACTTTATAGGGTCTCAGCACTGTGCTCAATGCTATATATCTATTATTTAATTGTACTGAGAGACTTTGAGGTAATTGCTCTTAGTATACAGGTAAGGGAATTGAGGCTCCAACATGTTACCTTGCTCCAGTTCACATAATAAATGAGCTGGGGTTCAAACCCAAGTCATCTGTGTCTGCAGGCCACACCTTTTCTTAAAGAGACCAGTATATTTATTTACTGTTTCATTTTGAAAAAATTTCAAACCTGCAGAAAATGTGCAGGGATAGTCCACTGAGCTCCTATATGATACCCTTCACTGGCATCCACCCATTTTTACCAATTTGCCATATTTACTGTCTCTTTTTCTGATACATTTTGCGGTTTGTTTTTGTGGAACCATTTGAGAGTGAATCGCAGACATCATGATTCTTCGATCCTAGCTACTTGGGTGTCCGTCTCTTTAAAAAAAAAAAAGTCCTCTTACAGGACCACTGTTTACCAAATTAAGCATATTTAGCACAACTACAATATTGCACTAATATATTGTCTGTATCCAAATCTCTCTCTTTTTTTTTAAAGATTTTATTTATTTGACAGAGATCATAAGTAGGCAGAGAGGCAGGCAGAGAGAGAGAGAGAGGAAGGGAAGCAGGCTCCCTGCTGAGCAGAGAGCCCGATGCGGGGCTCAATCCCAGGACTCTGAGACCATGACCTGAGCTGAAGGGAGAGGCTTAACCCACTGAGCCACCCAGGCGCCCCCTGTATCCAAATCTTACCAGTGGTCCCAATTCTGTCTTTGATCCCTGATCCAGGATTTAGGCCAGTGTTTTGCTCTCATGTCTCCTTAGGCTTCTGTAGTTGGGAAGCGTCATTCATCTCTCCTCAGTCTTCATCAGACCATGCTTTTGACAGCCTGGTTATTCTGTCAGGAAAAATCAAGAAGCCCTTACGGGCTATGGAGGGGAGAAGATCTAACCTCCACCCCTCACCCGTGTTGCGCAGGTCCCTGGGGAGATGCCTCCCTGCCCAGCAGCCACTCTGTGTGTCCCTAGGAAGGGACTGTCCTACACCATGCACGTTCTTGTGATTGTGTGTTTCGAAGACTTCTGCCAAAAGGCCCTGTAATTATAAACGACTTCTCATTATGATTATCACTCTGTGTAGTGAAGCTGGTCTCCGTCGCCGGGTTTCATTTTGTAGTTTCTTCCCAGTGGTCACATATGTTCTGGTTTCTGTCCCCATTCAGTCTCAAAGAAGATGGAGCAGGAACCCCCTATGACAAAGAGTCAACGGCCATCATAAAGCTGAACAATACAACAGTTCTTTATTTAAAAGAGGTGACAAAGTTCCTGGCTCTTGTTTGCTTTGTCAGAGAGGAAAGCTTTGAAAGAAAAGGTAATTGTGTGTGTGTGTGTGTGTGAGAGAGAGAGAGAGAGAGAGAGAGAGCTTTAAATGAAACCATTTCACTTCAGACTGATAACTGCTTCTACTGCTTGTGGATGGTGGGTGGTCGGCCACATGCTTCCTGAAGCTTCCAGACTTGTGTCACAAGTCCCCTTGGTGTCCTGTCGTGTCGTCGTCCCCCCCCCCCCCCCCTGGGCTGTCAGACTTTTGGGATCCAGGAACCAGCCTGCCCTCTAGTGCTGTAGCTGCCATGAGGTAGAAGGGGCCCCAGAGGGACTCTGGCTATCCCTGGAGTGAAGCTGGTTGAAGCCTTGTTGACAGGCTGTAATGTCTTGCCACAAGGGCCCAGCAGCCTGTGGTGAGGGCCGCGGCCTCCCTCCTGGTCCATTCCTCTAGAAGGTCCTAGGGACGGTGGGACCGCTTGAGATCCCTGTGGAAAGGAGGGGGGACTTGTACAACATTAAAGCGAGACATATTCCACTTCTGTTCAACCTTTATACATTCTTTAGTCCTCAAAACACAGGGCTGGCATCATGATTCTGAAAAGAGAAGATGTGAATATACTTAGAAAGTCACCAATCAGTGAAACAAAAACAAAAGATATATAAATAAATGATAAATGTGACATAATACCATATAAATGTGTAATATATAAATATATATTATATATAGATATAAAACAGATAAGTAAATAAATATAGAGAAAATAAAACTAAAGCAACTAACCTCATAGAGATACTCATTTTCCCCCTACTGTTTAAACTGGGAATTTAAACTACTACTTAATTTTTTTTTTTTTTTAAGATTTTATTTACTTATTTGGCAGACAGAGCTCACAAGTAGGCAGTGAAGCAGACAGAGAGAGAGAGGGGGGAAGCAGGCTCCCCGGCGAGCAGAGAACCTGATGTGGGGCTTGATCCCTGGACCCCAAGATCATGACCTGAGCCTAAGGCAGAGGCTTAACCCACTGAGCCACCCAGGCACCCTACTTTTTTTTTTTTAAGTACTATTTAAATTTAAATTACTATTTAAAACAGCTTACTGACATGCTAGGGATTTTTGCTAGCAACTAGGGCATGATTTACCAGTTTGGGGGGTAGAAAAATTCCCAAAAGAATGCCATCAGTAACATTTACTAAAATAGCTTTTCTCCCCTTTATAAGCATGCATGTTCTTTATAGAAAGACTTTGAAAATTTGGGGAAGTACAAAGAACAAAATAAAACCACTCAATTTTGCCATCTAGAGCTAAATTCTGTTACATTTTTGAGATTTTCTTTCTCCTCCTTTCCTCCCTCCCATCTTGCCTTCTTCTCTCATCCCTCCTTTCCTGCCAACAAAAGGGGGCCAATATTGTCTATTTTGTTTTTGTCAGACGTTTTACATCTGTTGTTTTCACTCATTTATATCAAGGAAATTTTTCCAAGTCATTGAGCATGAAAACATAATTTAGATTTTTATTGTTTCTTTCTTATTACAAAAACAGTAGATTCACTTAAAAATTTAGAAGTAACAGATAAGCAAAAAAGAAATACCTAAGTTCTCACTCGGAAATCACTCTCAACATTTTCTTTACAACTTTTTGGACTTTTTCATCTGTGGCTATGTCTCTATCCATATGTGATGATGTGATAAATACTAATTTGTAACCATTACTGAATTACAGTGAGGTAATTACAGACCTCTTTCTAATTCACTAAGCCTTTTTTAACCGTATCATTTTAGTTTCTTTTATTGTTAAGAATTTATATTGTTTCTAGATTTTAATGTTGTAAATAATCTGTGATGACCTCCTTTGCACTGAATATTTGTGTACATTTTGGTTATTTCCTCAGGAAAAAACTTCAGCAAGTGGAATTACTCAGATCCAAGGGCAGGGTAGGCATGTTTTGGTGGCTTCTAATACATATTATCCAAATGTCCTTCCAAAAGATGTTACAGGTTTCTGCTACTAAGAGAATATAAGTGTGTCCGTTTTGCTGTATTCCTATCAATATTAGGTATTAGCACTAAAGAATTAATTATTAAAAACTAGTATCATTTGAATTTTTATTTCCTTGCTTCTTGGTGAAGTTGTATATTTTTCCTATATTTACTGACTGTTATCAACCAGTTTGCCTTTTGTGTTCTTGGCCTTCAACATTTTTAATTAAGTGGTGCTAATCTTTTATTCCTTAGTTTCATCTTGCTGGAAGTAAGAACAGGTTAAATAGTAAGCTTGTGGAATTTTGACAGGACAATACCTGGTTTTTACCCAGACCCAGGAGCTGTAAGTGAGTTTTTCTTCAAGTTTCTACTACCAGTGTGTGGCAGTCAGAGCTAAGATTCCTGGGCTTGTCCTTACATAGACTCAGTTGTGTGTATTGTGTTTTAACCCATTATGCATACATTTCCATGGTTAAAGATCTTTCCAGAATTTATATTTGGTGATTAATATTTCACATTGATTTTGGAAGCTAAGTAAAATACAATGCAAATAGTACAACTAGAGCCCCAAAACCATCTAGGTTAGTGGCAGGTCCTAAAATTTAGGGTATATGAGCGTCAACCTGGAGAGCTTGTTTATTTTCAACTGATTTTAGACTGAATAGAAACGTTGCAAAAATACTACATCGCTTACAGAGATTCCTCAATCCACTTTCCCCATTTTACATACTAATGAAAAATAGGGACTCTCCATTAGTATAATACTAATTAATAGTATTAATGAATTAATTAGTATTCATTAAGAAACTACAGACCTTATTCAGATTTCACCATTTTTCCAAAAATACCCTTTTTCTGTCCCAGAATCACAAATTGATTTAGTCACGATTCCTCCTAGTCTTCTCTCATCACTGATAGTTCTTTATCTTCCATGATCTTGACACTTTGGAAGAGTACTAATCAATCGTTTTGTACAATGTCCCTCAGAAAGGGTTTGTCTGCTGTTTCCACACAGTTGGAACAAGATTATGCACTTTGACCAGAATGTGTCCTTCTCAGTGCATCATATCAAGTGGTTCATGATGTTGATAAGTCTTATTACTACTGGTGGTGTTGACCTTGATTTAGTCAAGGTCATGTCTGTCAGGTTTTCCCTCTGGAAAGCTCCTGTCTTTCCCACTGTAGTTAATACATATTTTCAGGTTATGTAAATCCTCTTCCTCCTCAAACTTTTGCCCACTAATTTTAACATCCATCTATGGTTGTGGAAATAAATTAAGCAGGAGTTTATTATGTGGATCTTTGCAAGTTAGGTGGGATCATCTCTAAGGACAGACAGATTTGGTAGAATTTATTAAACTAGCTAGAAACCTAGGTATTTTAATATTACAACTAGGAAATGGCAGATGGATTTAACCCTATCATGTTAAACTCATGTGCTTTTTAAAATGATTATCTCCATTTGCCTAGGACACATTCTGGTCAAAGTGCATAATCTTGTTCCAACTGTGTGGAAACAGCAGACAAACCCTTTCTGAGGGACATTGTACAAAACGATTGATTAGTACTCTTCCAAAGTGTCAAGATCATGGAAGATAAAGAACTATCAGTGATGAGAGAAGACTAGGAGGAATCGTGACTAAATCAATTTGTGATTCTGGGACAGAAAAAGGGTATTTTTGGAAAAATGGTGAAATCCCCTTATCAGGGGAAGGTCCCTGGCAAAAGGAATGACTTGGTAACCCTGGGGATCAGGGAGTTGTCTTTAAAAAGAACTTAATGCTTACAAATGTGTAGAGTAGTTTGGTTTTGTTGCTTTACTTTTTCTTCTTTAAAGATTTTTATTTTTAAATAATCTCTATAGCCAAACTGTGGCTCAAACTTCCAACCCCAAGATAAGGGTTGCGTGGTCTACCAATTGAGCCAGCCAGGTGGCCCTGGTTATGTGGTTTTAATCTCCAGTGTTGTAGAGTCCTCTTGGCGCCAATAACCGACACTGGTTGATTAGCTTTGCCTCATGCTGGATCTCCGTCTGAGTTTTCATTAATGATCTCTGTGACTACTTTTGCAGAAAGGAGAGGATCGAAAGCAGATGTGGCGTTTTCAGCCTTGGCTCCACACACACTCCACAGTCCTTGCTCCATAGGCACCTTAGGAAGGGAGGCAGTTAAAAAATACCGACCTCTGGGTCCTCCTCCAAACAATTAGAATAGAATTCCTGGGAGAGGGACCTAGGGCTTGTTAAATTTTTTAAAGTTCTCTGGATTTTTTTTTTTAATATATATATTTTAAGATCTTATTTAATATTGGACAGAGAGAGACATAGTGAGAGAGGGAACACAAATGGGGAGAAGGAGAGGGAGAAGCAGGCTTCCCACAGAGCAGGGAGCCCGATGCGGGGTTCAATCCCAGGACCCTGGGATCATGACCTGGGCCGAAGGCAGATGCTTAACGGACTGAGTCACCCAGGGGCCCTAATACTGTTACATTTTAAAGATTTTTATTTATTTATTTGATAGAGATCACAAGTAGGCAGAGAGGCAGGCAGAGAGAGAGATAGGAAGCAGGTCCCCCGGCGAGCAGAGAGCCCGATCTGGGGCTCCATCCCAGGACCCTGAGACCATGACCTGAGCCGAAGGCAGAGGCTTTAACCCACCGAGCCACCCAGGCGCCCCAACATTTTAAATTGCGAAGATGAGTAAGTTAATATTTGTCAGGAACTGTCAACAGAATACTTCTGCAAGTTGAATTTTCACTGAGCCAGTTTTTCTAACTAAGCTTTCTTCCTAAGGCAGTTGGTTGCATGTAAAGGCAAAGAATTGGAGGTGTTTCTCACATCTCCTATCCCAGTTTCCACTAAGTAAAATCATCTCTTTGCTTCTTGTTTATTTTTTTTTTAATTACATACTTTATTTGGAAGATGGCCCCAAGAAGCAAAAATGAGGAAGTAGGAAAATGAGACAAGGTAGAAAAGCCACCCACCGTGGCGTCAATGAGCAGTTTTATGTTCACTCCCAGTAGGAGAGAGTCTCTGAGAAGCTGTGTGGAACAAACTCAGTCACCCCAGTTGAGTATGGGAGACTGCAGCACTTACCACCTTCCTCCGTGTCCCCGTTTGAGGTGCCTTCAGAACGTTCATTCCCATATCCCTCGTACCTGTCCATGTGCAGTAGAGGAAGTTCTGTGAAAGCCTCAGGCAGAAAAGAGATGCTTCTCTTTCTTTAAGATTTTATCTTTAAGTAATCTCTACATCCAGCGTGGGCCTTGAACTCACAACACTGAGATCAAGAGTCACGTGCTCTACCGACTAAGCCGGCCGGCCGCCCCTGGGCTTACTTATTTCTTACTACTTCCCCCCTGATTCCAGTAGTGTTGTCTGAGGAGATGACTTGGAGGTTTTATTGCACTGTGGTCAGTGTCGCTTCAGAAGCAGCAGAGGGCGCCACTGAGAAGGTTTCCTGCTTCTGGAAGCTGAGCTAGTGTTCCCTCCAGTGCACTTGCCGTTGTTTGGCTGCTTTGAAGAATTTCAGTCCTTGGCTGGAATCCCAGTTCTTTTTTATTTTGGTTGGGGCTTTGGAAACATTACTTCCGTGGATGGAAGCAGTTGTTGGGCTAGTTATTTTAATAAATGTAAAAATAGTACATCGAACCAACTGCCTTATCCTAATTGGTATAAACATAATGTTGTTCTCAACACTTTTACAAATTAGTGTGCTGAAAAATGCACTCAAGACTTGGGATTAATCTTTTATTCCATTCTTGTACCAATGATTTCAGAAAGCACAAAATGATTCTCCCCTACTACGTCTGCATTTGAAATTTACTTAGAGTTGAGAAACTGAGAGCGTTGTTGGTTGAACTTCCGAGCTTGCTGTTGACCTGAGGTGACTGCCACAACTCTAAAATCAGGGACGGGGATCTTGCTTTTCCCCAGGGCTTCTGACAGTGGCTTAAATGTAATAGGTATTCAATAAATATGGATCGATAGAATGATGGGTACTGAAGCTTTGAGATCTTGGCCACACTTCGAGTCAGGGTCTGCCTCTAGTCAGAGTCAATTGAATAATCCCTTTTGGGGAAACATAATATTTCATGGAGGATATATCTTAATTGTAAGAAATCTTGAATTCTGATAGGTCAAAAAATTCACTTCAGTTCTTCAGTGTTGTAGGTCATAGACACCTTTGAAAATGTGGTCTGTACTCTGGAACCTTCCCTTAGGAAAACATGTACATTCACAGAATCTCACCTGCGATTCCTCAGGCAGCTGCAACTTCTAGGGAAATCTGTGGATGTTCTGTTAAGGCCCCTCTTCTGCTTCCCCTTAGTTGCTTGTCCCTGCCATGGCATTACGACAAGAGGAGATTCTTTCTTTGTTTCTTTCCTTTTTTTTTTTTTTTTTAAAGATTTTATTTATTTATTTGTCAGAGAAAAAGAGAGAGTGAGCGAGCATACACACAGGGGGAGTAGCAGGCAGAGGGAGAAGCAGGCTTCCTGTTGAGCAGGGAGCCCAATGCAGGACTCGATCCCAGGACCCCGAGATCAAGGCAGATGGTTAACCGACTGAGCCACCCAGGCGCCCCAGGAGGGGGTTATTTCTGTGCGACATGTCTAAAATATTTTGTTTTTTCCCCCAGGGCTTATTGACTATAATTTTCATTGCTTCCGGAAAGCCATCCATGAGGTTTTCGAGGTGAGGATGAAAATGGTGAAATCACGAAAGGTTCAGAATCGGCTGCAGAAGAAAAAAGGAGCCACCCCCAATGGGACCCCTAACGTGCTGCTGTAGTGAGGCTTCGGGAGTATCTGCGAGTCAGACCTTGCAGTGAGGCTCCTGTGCTGTGTTGCACTAAAGGAAGAGGAAAAAGGAGATTGGGACACATGACGTATTTGTTGTTAAAAAAAAAAAAAAAAAATCCCCTCAACCCTCTTGATCTTCTCTTTTTTAAATAAAGTGAGCACTTTGAAGCCGAAACTTGTATTTTAACAATGAAGTAAAATCTACTGTAATTTCGTTGCACAAATGTAAACTTTTATGGTCTGTAGTCAGAAACTCCTATGTGAGGACTGCCAGGAACTGTATATATTTTGCTCTTTTTCATGTTTTTTTCTTTGAACTTTGATAAAACGACTTTTCTAAGCTTTTTTCTGTACTTGGTGTCAAGGACATGCATACTGTAGTGTTGTTCAGATCTCTATGGCTTTCAGAAATCAAAAAGCAATGAACTGGCAATTTTTTTTTTTTTTTTTTATAAATTTGGGAATCTTTGCTACTAATTGTTGAGAAAAACCATTTTTCAGTGGAGCTGGAACAGATTGGGGCAGCAAGCTCCAGGAGCAATAAGAACTGTCTCCTGTTTATAACTATTGTAAACGGGAGTTTTGTAGAATAATCTTAGCACCAAATTTACCTAAAAATGTCACTAGCTGTGCCCAGACTTCCCTACTTAACAGTTTTTACAAAGCTCTTTACCTCAACACACATCTCTATAATCATTTTATACAGAGAGGTTGTTCCTTCTTGCTGCATTACTGTTCTTTAGAACCTTCGGGACCAGATTTCCAAAATGGTGCCAATCACTGGAGAGAAAGAGGAATGTTGCTGAATTTCAGGGTTTCTGGAGGCTTTTCTGTACCTGCCCCTGGGGCTGAAGTTACATCAGAGGTCACATGGTTTCCCAAATGTAGGTGATGGGTATTCAGAGATTTAAAAATGGATCTACAGTTTGTATGTTTGGCCCCTGTGAAGTGGGCCTCTTGTGCAACATTTAAAATGTTTATTGAGGATCATGACCACAGGGAATGTCTCAGATCTCTACACAGAGCATAGCCCTGGTGAGCACGTTTGTCACCTATTAGTCTCCTGCTCAACCATGACAGTGTGCCTTGTGGACTCTGCCCATTCCCACCTTAGGGTTGAACTAGAACTCAGCCAGCCAGCAGCACACTCTGCACAGCTGAAAAGATATCCTGCAAACCTCTAACAATCAGTGGGACGAGGATGGCCGGAGGAGACATCACAGTTAGCTGTGTGTTCGTTTCTGTGAAATTCTCCCACTTACGTTTACTTTACACTTTCAGGATGTTAAGGGACTCCTAAATCTCCCCTCACCCCAAACCATTCCTAGTAGATAATTCTCTGTCCGTTAGGTAATTCTATATCTGTCCCAAGGGTCAATGCCCTAAACCCTGCTTGTGAGTATTGGAAAATAATATTATATACTTATTTATTTTTAAGCAAAGACTCATAAGGAAGTCAAAGCTGGTCCTAGCAAAATGTACCAAGTTCCTAAAGCAACTTGCCCTTGAAACTATCCCATCTCTATCTGCGGCCTCCTTCCATCCTCCTTCTTTCCCTCCCCAAGTCCTATTCCTTTGAGGCTGCTAACTGCAATGCAAGATGGTAGCTGATTGAAGTGTAAGGTTTGAGTCCTCCCAAGGGTCTGTGCATTTTGGAAGGAAATTTCTAAAAATCATTAAGGCGCCCAACTCCTTCGTGATTCCTGCTCAGAAACCTGGGTGGGTAGGAACCCAGGGTTCCAAAGGAGACTTTTCCTTAATTTCTAGACCTATATCCTGTTGGATCTTTGGGTCTTTGACAACAGGCTTGTTACATATGGGTTCTTCTTATAAACTTAATGTTCTAATATTTTTTACACAATGTTTCTTTTTGATTAAGCAAATAAGGAATCACTTTTCTAATGTGACTTTATCCTCAAGGTAGAGACACTTGCCTACCTGGTAAATGACACATTACTTAGGTATATATTACTGTAACCAGGAGGAGCTTCCATTTTTAAGCTGGATATATGATGAGTTTTTGTTAAAATGTGCCTTAAAAGTCTATAACTTCAGGAGCAAATGATTCTTTGGGGGAAAAGCAAAAACAGTCATATGGCATAGGACCTAAGTTCATGGTAGTAAGTGCACTCTTTGGTTGATCACACACTAATACATAGATTCCTGCCTCAAACCTGTAAGAATGGCAATGACCTCTTAGTTAAAGACAGATGTAGGAGTTATGTCTAAGTGTTCAGCTTTTTAAGTCTGTGCTATTGGAATTACAAAATCTATTCCTTCCGCATTTTATTTTTGATATGGAACATAGCTTACTGCGATGTGTATGGCCATGTTTAGGTCTCAGATCTAATGCTATAGATACAAAGTCCAAACACATGGCTACAGTGACTTCTCTGGAGCATGTTTGCTCATTTTCAAAGGTTGAGAACTTGACCTACAGGTTTCTAGGGCAATCAGAACTTCTATGTGGAGGTGAGACTGTGAATTACCCTCTTGGGTTATTTTTAGTGATATAAATGAGTGTGTGTGACCAGGGTAGAGTGTTTTTGAAGGAGTATAAATTAAAAAAAAACTGGTTGGCATTCACGGACAGTGTTATTTTGTGAGCATAATATATTTTGGGCCCTCAAATATAAAATGACTAGAAACAGCAATATTGTTACTATACGGGTTATATGCTAACTCTGTTTGAGACATACTCCAGAAAAATGGCTGAACTGTCTTGATTATTAAAGTATGGTATGCATTTAACTTCTATAGACTGTTCGTAATTTTTAATCAAGCATAGTATTATGTTTTACTTTAAGCAGGACATCATTCATAATTATTGCTAAAATATTGCTTTCAAGAATGTTAACTGCCAATTTAAAAGCATGTGTCACGCTCATGATTTGGTAAGGCTCTCGTTTTATTTCAGACATACTCATAACTAAGCATTCTGGGAGCAGAATATTTTCTTTGGTAAAGTGGCCCGTCCTGTTTCTGAGATTGTTACCTGTATATGAATATCATTGCTTCACTGGCCCTGTTGGGTCTCTTTAGTAAAATGTTTGTCCTGATAGACCAGCTTTCATCTTGTGGAAATGAAGATAAATCACTCTATTTGCACTTTTATATTTATTTTATTTTTAAATCCTCCCTTTTATATCTCCATATTTTTCATGGGAACATGGCTGTTTGGAATATAGAACTGTTGTTTTTTTTTTTTTTCAGTAAACTTCGGACACTAATTCTTGCTGCTCTTGTCCTAATCCCTAACCGTCTGGAAATTCTTTTCCAAACAGGCCACCTTATCGATTCGGACTTGCTTCATAGGGTTCCACTCTTACTGACTTCTACGGATCCCTAAGAGTTCCCAGAGAAGACCAGCTTTAGATATTATATCTTATATACAAAACTCTGTGTCTGATTGGAAAACCTGATCTAAAATAATATTTCTCTACGATTTTTAATCAGTAGTGATGTTGAGTTTAGGAGGAAAAAAATGTCTTTGACAGAATTACTTCCTGGTAATATACAATGATTGAATGAACATAATATTTCAGGTTCTCAAATGCTTTTACAGAAGTTATCTTCATAACCCCGAGAGGTGGGTACTATCATCATTCCTATTTTAGAGATCAGGCAACTGAGTGTAGAGAGTTGAAATAACGTGGTCAGGATCACATAACTACTAAGACACAAGGCTGGGAGTCTGGTTGGAGAGTTCACCCTCTCAATACTGTTTTGAGCAACTGTACCACATGTCCCTTTACATGCCCTGCCTTCACAAATATGAAGATGGGAACTTGAAGTTTAGGATTTACTGCCGCATGGGGTTATGAAGGCTAAAATGCTGGGAAATTTAAAAAGAAATACCTTTTCTCACAGGAGAATGAGTAAAAGCAGCCTTCTAGAGGTACTTCACTCAAGATTAAGTGGCCTTCTTCGCAGTCCAACACGGAAAATAATATTAAGAGAGTATTTAAATATCAGAAGAGAATTCAAATACCTTTTCCAAACATTTGGTTTTCTGAGAAGCAAAAGTATATCAAATTCTGAGAAAATCAAGAGAGAATAATAAGCCTTTGATCTTAGCTGTATTCAACCTTTTACTTCAATATGTGTAACCATATGTATAGAAAACAAAATTACAGAAAACAAAAAATTGGATTAAAATTCAAAAAGATACATTTCAATCCCAACATTTTCTTGAGCTGCAGACCTACCTTTAAAATTGCCAGTAGCATATTTTTGCTGGAATCTTCCATAAGAGGACCCTCCAATCTAATATGCCCTAAATTAAACTCACTTCCTTCTTGCTAAATCTTCTCCTCCTTTTATGGTGGTGTGACTATGCTCCCTGCAGTCCCTGCCAGAAACGTGGGCCTCCTTGACTCTCCCTTCCTGCTCATTCCATCCAATCAACCACCCAGTTCCTTCAGCTCAGTCTTAGAAACATCTATTCAATCTATTCTCTCCATCTCTTTTGCCACTATCCTGGTTTAGGGCACCATCTCCTCTTGTCTGGATCTTAATAGCCTCTCAACTAACATCTCTCCACCTCATCCATCCATCCTTTCATTCCATTCTCCACACAAGACCCAGAGTGACCTTCCTAAACCCCCACCATTCTGACCACATCAGTCTCTTGCTTAACATGGGTCATAGCTCTCCATTACAGATATCAGTCAAACTCCACAAGAACGTTTGCAAGAACCTGCCTCTCCAGTTCTTACCTCCCTCCCCAGCCATGGCTCATCCTCCCCCAACAGAGGTGAACCAGCATGACTGTATGGTGTGTGGTAAATCAGAGGAACCATGATTCTTGATTCCTTTCTTTTTGGTCATTTTCTGAGGGAAATGATCATTTTTTTTCTTCATCAGTGACTGATAGGACACCTATTATGTGTGAGATATTGTGCTTAATAAAAAGGCAGATTTTAGAGATGCAAGGATTTTAGTAATGAAAATAAAGCACTTTATAGAAGTGTAGGAGTTAACCCTTCATGGAATCCATTATAAATTCTTTGTTGTTGTGAGCTGCAATAAATACAATCCACACTGCAAACTATCACATACTTACACCTATAAATAATACCTTTTTTTAAAAAAAAGATTTTATTTACTTATTTGACAGAGAAATCACAAGTAGGCAGAGTGGCAGGCAAGGTTGGTGGGGGGAGCAGGCTGCTGAGCAGAGAGCCCAAT